CAAAAAGGGAAAAGAAAAAAATGTGAGAGAATGAAAAGATGAAAATAAAGTGTTTGTAGATGGGGAGGGGAGGAGGGGGTGAAGGGAGGGCAGAGGTAAGGGGAAAAAATGAGAATCAAGACTTGCCATGTAAAGAAAGGTACATGATTCCAACAATGAATGTAACTGTACTGTATCCCTAAATGTACCAATAAACTCAATAAAATTTAAAAAAAAATTTTATTTAGTCTTTGTCCAGTGTTTAAAATGCCTCAGGGGCATTTTCTATTGATTGCTTTTTTTCTTATCTATGAGTATACTTTCTTATTTATTAGCATGTTTCCTTATTGCTTTGTTGGAAATATGGCATCTTAAATAATGTGATAACTCTGAAAATACTTTTCCCTCTCCAGATTTTGTTATTGCCAACTGCTGTTTTCACTATTTGTTCATTTTTTTACTTGTGGTTTTTCTGAACTAATTCAGAAAAAATTAATATAGAACATTGTGTATTCAGTGTTGTGGTGACCACTGATGTACTTGCTCAATTAGCCTGTGGTCATTAAATATCTAAGCAGTGATTTCCTTAAATGTTTAGAACCCATAAGCCTCTTTGTCTTTCAGAAGGGATTCTGTATATGTGTTGAGGCATCCTCTCAAAATTCAGCCAAGCAGTTGACAACTCTGCCTTAGCCTTCACATTCAGTTTGCATGAAGCCTCAAGATTAGCAAAGAAGCAGGAGCACAAGGCCTTCTCAGGTCTTCCCTGACCATGTATCATAACTCTATAGATGTGAGCATCTTTCAGGAATTCCAGGAATATGTTTAAACTTTTTAAAGCCCCCTATGGATATCTCATTCATGAATTTTTCTTTTCAAGTCCCCATGTTCACCCCTGACAGTTGCCCTATTAAACAGTTAACCTCTGCTTATTTCCAATGAATGATGAATTCCATCCAATGAAAGGATGTTTACACTGGTTGAACTCTGTGTTGAGTTAAAGACAGTCTCACAAGTGGGTTATTCCAAGGAATTATCAGTTCAAAAGAGTTTTTTGAGAATGTGACTCTAAAATGGCTCTAATACCTTTCTGTTTCTTCTGGTGGCTGTCAGACTGTTTCTTTTTTTTTTTTTTTCTTTTTTTCCTCCTATACCTAAAGGCTGTTGGCTTTCAAGGCTACTAATGGTTCTAGATGAGAATGAGGCAAGTTAAAATGCCACCTAGCTCACTGCTTTTTTACTAGAATTTGACTGTTTTTCTTGACTAAGAAATCTTTGAATTTCTGCTAGCCTTTACTTAATTTCCAGAGTTCTGAAATAGTTAATTTTGACAAACTTTCCAATGTTCACATTAATTATATGGAGGAAAGGATTTTCAATGGTGCCTTAAATCTGAATAATTTGGTTTTGACTCTTATTAAATTTATGATATGATGATTAAGATCTGAAATTATCTCTGGTAAGTCCTAGAGATTAGTTTCTTTACTGTTGTTTTTCAATTGAATTTATAGATTTGACAAACTTGCTTAATTATTTGAAGGGCTAGGAATTTCTCCTTTGTGCTTGAAATAGCTTGTATCTAGATGCCTCCTCAAAGCCTCAAGTACTCATAGGTGGAGCTTTTAAGAGATGGCTGGATCTAGGGCACATGATGCTGGGAGTAAAGGTGTGTGGTGCGATTTATTCCACTGATTGGAATTAGATAATTCTGGGTATGGATAATGGGAAGGCCCATGGGTGTGTGTGGCACCATCCAAAAGGCTCATAGCCTGGACGGGATAAAAGGTAAAGAGGGCAGGATTGCTGCCTCCTGTGGCTACTTGTTTGCTCCCTACCTCCTGCCTGTCATACCATGGACTGTTTCTGCTCTACAATGCCCCTCTATTGTGCCACCCTGCCCTGGAGCCAGCTATCAGCTAAAACCTCTACAAACTGTGAGCTAAAACAAACCTTTCCTCTTTTAACCTTGGGTGTTGGGTATTTTGTCTCAGCAATGAGAAAAGTAACTAACATAGCACTTCCTAGAGACAAGATTTCTCTTACATACTTTAGTGGCTCAGTTGGGTGATACAGTATGGCCCATTGTGCAAAGAGGAGCCCTTAGGAAGGTTACACATAGGATATCTCTCTGACCTCCAGTGCTTGCTTGTACTATTTTTTTCCTTGCTACATCATATCCTTTCCTTTAAAATAAAAGCCTACATTAATAAACTCTGGTGAATCCTTTCAAATAACCCAAGTGGGGAAATCTTTGCTGTGGTATATCCACATAATATAATGCTATGCAGCTGTAGAAAAATTTGTGGCATGTACCTGTGGGCAGATATGGAAAGACATATGAGATATACTGCTCAATCAAAATGCAGATACATAACTGCAACATAGTATACTAATTCTGAAAGGGAAGAAAAGGAAAGAAATACAATGGTTGATATTCATATTTGCTTGATACACATACTGAATGCACACATGAAAACTTTTAAAAATTACTATGAAAGAAAAGGAAATAAAATATCTAACCTATAACTTTGTGAAATAAATCAGATGCACGAGGTTAAATATTGCATACCTTCTTTTACATGAGAAAATATAAATAAAAAACAAAATAAAAGATAGATAATAGAAAGTAGGGAGGTAAAGCTTTCTTAAATGGGAAGGGGATTAAGAAATGGCAGGGTGAGTAAAGAATTAAGATGTGTTACATAAATGTACCAACTTCCCACAAGAAAGGCAATCATTATGCACTGCAAACATGTACATGGATTTTTAAATGTATGAATATATCACTATCCAAAACCTGAAACTTTAAAAGTAAATAAAACAGAAAAGAAAAATTAAGTCATGTGATCCAAGAGGTCTAATAATGTATTTTAAGGGCTCGTATAAATATGAAGAAATAAAAGTGGAAAAATAATAGACATGCCAAATTATAACATAAACATGCACAGCCAACGTAAATAGCAGTGCAAGATGTGAAGCTGAATTTTCACTGGATGACATGTAAAAGACTTGAATCATTGCTTTAAGGTTATTGGTCAGGATTTTTGAACAGTGACACTAATGACATTTCAGGCAGGCTACTTTGTTGTTCTAGGGTGCTGTTTTGTGCATTTATGGATGTTTAGTAGTATTTCTGACTTCTACACACTAGGTATCAGTCACACTCCCCTCTGCCAGTTGTGACAACCAAAACTATCTCCAGACATTGCCAAAGTTGTCCCCAGTTGAGGATCATTGCTTTAACTGATCTGAGTAGGAAGTAGATTCTCCGAGCAGATTATTAAATTTTTTTCCAAAATTTCTAGTGAATGCTTTCTGGGCAAATGGTCTATAGTCCAGAACTACTTTGTCACTGATATGGCAAATATTTTATATAATTTTCAAGTTCTAAAGATTGCTATTATGATCCTGACTCAGCCAGGATGCTATTTTCTTTTCTTTTGAATAATATTAATTTATTAGAAATATTTCTCTTTTCATAAGATATGTAAATTGCCAAACCATCAGAGGTGTCTTATTACTTTGAAACTTTTTTGTGGAAATAAATGTCTTTCTTTAATGGATATTAGAGAAATGGAAATAATATTTGTGTCCATGGGTCGGTCCATTTTTCACTAGAATTTCTTATATATGAGTGAAGGACAGAAAATGTCTAATGTGATTCTGTTACCCACCCACTTTTGAACCTCTCCTGGGAAGTCTGGAATACTTCAAACTCCTTCAGGACACTGTCCCGGGATGATAAGGCCATGGCTTGTGCATCAGCTCCACATCTGTCACGATTCCTGTCTGCTGACCTAAACCCCCAAAGCTGTGCTATTCACAGTAGTTCACAATTCTGGCAGCACAACTCGTGGGGTACGTAGAGATAGCAAATTTCTCTCCCTCGGTTTTGCCTGGGATCTTATGAGAGACATGGCTGTAGCCATAGTCATTTTTAAATGATTGTCCTGTTTCCGTCGGAAGCAAACCCAGCCTTGGAACCTTGAGATAACTCCCAGATTACAAAACAAATGCTTAAACTCTCCCCACCTCCTGGGCTTGTTCCAGGGGATTTTGTGGTAATTTCAATTGCAGGAGAAGGTAGGTATACATTTCCCAGGACTAATCGCCGTGGCCTTACCCTTTATTGAACTCAGGTGAAAGGGTTTCATCATTGCAAGACTGATCAAGAAAAGCACAAAAAAGTCCTTTTTATAGCTGCAACAGAAAAATATTTTCGACCTTAAAAGTCTGTAATCAAAAGACTGGATACCCTCCCTTTCTTCCTGGGCGCCAGACGTCTCCTGATCCTTGCTACCATGTGCGCCTGCTTGCATGAGTGCAGACTCGGGACTCACCGCGGACAAGCCTGGGAACTGGCCCTGGCGCAACAGCTAAATGGCAAACAGATGCTTGGCGTGCCAGAGACCCCGCTGGTGAGGGCACCTCCTGGAAACCAGTTCCAGCCCCAGTGGTTTCCGGGTGGGAAGACTGGCGGCTGGGTCGTTGCATCCTCTTTGCTGAAATGAGCGAGTTTTGAAAGCAGGAGACCCCTTTCCCCAGGCAGGGGTACGAAGAGCCAAACAAGTTCAGGAAGGGAAACCCCCGCCAAGGAAAGTTGTGGCGCTAAGCGGAAGCTTCCTGTCACCCACTTCCGAGGTAAAGCGTCCTCCGCCCCTTGCTGGTGAGATACAGACGCGGTCTTTTCCAGCCCAGCTTCTCAAGCTCCAGAAATACTCCAGGACTCCCGACCTTGTTTCCAAGCTCTTCACTGTCTGGGCTGCACGCAGCTTGGGCTTATACTGGAGGCGAATTTGGTGCCATGGTTTTGGCTTCAGAAGTTTGGAATGACTTTGCACCTCTCAGTCATTTCAGAACGATTCCCACAGGTCCCGGTCCTACAAAACCCACCCCATCTCCTGGCACATGGAGCTCTGGACAGTGGCCTAACAAATGTGTTGTTGGTAGCTCAGCTGTGGTCCAGGAGACAAGTGCGCGGTACCCGAACTTTTCCGACAGCACCTGAAACTAGGGTGCATCCTAGCAGGTCCTGCTAATCCAAACAACTCCTTGAAGGAGCCCAGATTCGAATTTAGCTGGAATGCTCTTCCCGCGCCGACTCTGGAGCCCACTAGGCAGCGGCTTCTCGGACCCCAGGGCGAGCGCCCTGGAGCCGGGTCCGCCTCTCCCCGGCTCTGTGGGGCGGGGTGGATGGGCAGGGACCTGGATCTGATTAACTGGGAGCAGGAACCGCTCTCTCCTGTCTCTGTCCTCCCAGACTGCTGAGGAGGAGGAGGGACTGGTGTTCCATCACCAACACCAGCCTAGGGGTTCGCCGCCGCCGGTCCGCAGTCTGCGCCCCGCGCCCCTGACCGCCATGGGGGCCCCATCCAGCTCGGGCTTCTACGTGAGCCGCGTGGTGGCC